CCCATATTTTTCTATGTTTTCTGGGTTTCTGTCTTCCCCCCCACTTCCCATATTTCCCTATATTTCCTGGGGAATCGAGGATTGATTGTGTCTGTGTGTTTTTTCCTCTCCTGATTCACTTCCGTCGGCTTCCTCGGGCAGGCCGCCGGCTGCCGCCGGGGGCACGGCGCGCCGTGGGCGAGGCCCTCTCTCGGAACGCCCCAGGCAGGAACGGAGAGGCAGCAGCAGCAGCAGCAGCAGCAGCAGCAGCAGCAGCAGCAGGTGGGTATGTTAGCCAGCGTGGGCCCCAGACATCGGCAGCGGGCGAGGGGGGGAGGAAGTGAGAGGAGGAGGGGGCCTCCTCGGGAGGCTCGGGAGTTCCCCTGCACTCTGAGAATTTTTCTCTGAGCCTTTCCCGAAGGCGCAGGGCACTTCGAAAGAGGAGGCGGGGCTTCTCAGAAGCCCCGCCTCCTTCTGAGAAGGCCTTCTCCATCTCACTTCCACCCCTCGCCCGCCGCCGAAAACAGTTCGTTCTAGCATGCTATGTGGTGCAGTATGTGTTGTGAAATATGTGTGGCGCAATCTTCGTGGTGCAGTCGGTGTGGTGCAATCTACGTGGTGCAGTGTTTGCAGTGCCATCTGCGCGGTGCCATCTACGAAATGCAAAGCAGCACCAAGCAATGCGAAGCAATGGAAATCTATGCCAAGCAGTGCAAGGCATTGCGAAGCAAATCAAAGCGGACGGCGACGAACCGCGACGCCGACCACATAGCCGCCAGACCGAAGAGCAGGCTCGGAGAGACCAGGCGGCGATGGCGACCACACGGCCGCCAGACCGACGGGCAGGCCCAGACCCATTGAAAATGCGGAAGAACCTCTGGGTGCAAGCACTGGTTTGGGAAACATGCGCAAGACACGAACCACACGAGGGCACGGTACGGTTACGAACAGCTGAATGGCCCCTGAGAGCTGGCGAGCCCGGAGAACGTGTCAGGCGCGCCGCGGCCGCTGCGGAGTGCTCCAGAATGCTCGGAGAGCCTCCGCAGAGAGTCGCATGCATCCCCAGGCAGCCTGCCGACGCCAGTGCGGAAGGTGGTGCGGCCCGTAGCTTCCTGCACCTGGAGCGCATGGAGAGAAAGCGCAGGGGCAGGGGGAGGGGGGGAAGGCGGAGAGGGGGAGTGTGGGGAGGAGGGAGACGGGGGAGGAGGAGCAGAGGAGGAGCAGAGGACAGGGAAGGAACGAGGGAGAGGGAAGGAAGAAGGAGGCGGCAAAGTGGCGAAGGAGGCAGAGCTTCGGACCAGCAGGAAGCAAGGCCAGCCACGGCTGGCAGCACAACCGAATACCGACGGAACCGACAGCGAAAACGAAACCGACCAAAACCGAAGGGCCGCAATCAGGCCCAGCAGGGCGTAGCAACGCAGCAACGACAGGGCAACTGACGGAACCGATCCGAACCGACCCGAACCGACCAGACAACGCAACGGACTGCGACGCAGCCGAACCGACAAACCGCGAGTCACCCCTGGAAGGGGACGGACGCTCGAACAGGGGATCGACTTCAGAATTATGCACCAAAATGTTGGTTCTCTCGCCGATTCTACGAAAAAGCATAGAATGCTTAGTAGATCTACGGAGCACGGTGCGGGCAGTGGATGGGGGGCACTCAGATAAGGAATCCCAGGGTCTGGAAGCCAGCGGAACTCCAATCGTGGATCGACCATGGATATCACCGCCGCCCTCATCGGATAAGGAATCCTCCAGGGTCTGGCGCCTCCTGAGAATATTGCTTGACAAACGCCTCCACCGTGTTCTACGTGTCTTTCGTGAATCATCCGACGGACAAACCAGCTTGGGGGCAGATCGATTCTGTGGTCGATCTCCTGCTCGAGATGTCGGGAGCAGGGGGAGCGGCAGCGGCATCGGCAGATGGGCGTCGGACCGACGGGCGCGCCCTTTCGCAGCCGCCCGCCCGACAGGCCACACGGGACGCTGGACCCCTGCAGTGCGCCGAGTGCTGCGCCAGCGCCCTGGCCTCCACGAAGGACCTGCCGCACGACCGGCAGAGCAGGTCGAGGGTGACGAGCGGCCGGAGGGCCTGCAGATGCTCCTCGGGGAGCAGTCAAGGTGCACTGCATGCACGGCAGTCTCGGGCGACACTCCCACCATCCTCATCGCCTCCTCCCGCATCTCCTCCACCTCCTCGTCCTCTCCCTGTTCTACATAAACGCTCGCGTATGCCAAGCCGACGCCAGAAGCCAACACGAGACACCGCACGAGCGCGCACAAGGCGACCCGCACAAGGCAACCCGCACAAGGCTCCCGAACTTACTCTTTCTGTTTAAATATTTACTCATTTATTATATAGATATATATTAAAATATATAACAAACAAAAAAGCTCTCGGAGGTCCGCGCGCATGTTTGCTGGTCGGCGCTGGGGCCCCCCTCCCCTGGCGCGCGGAGCGCGCCACGCCGCCAGGGGGGGGGGGGTCCAGCGGACCTCCGAGGAATGGTGTAGGATGGCCTCGCGCCAGAGCCGAAACCAGGCTGCACGCAGCAGACGTCGTGACCCCCTCCCCCTTCCCAAATCGGGCAGGGACAGGGGGCGGGGACTGGCACAAGGGGGGGACATCGGCTTGGAAAAGGCGATACATCGCTCATAGATCCACGATAGGCCCCCGATGGCAGATCTGCACGTTCCTGGGCGGGGTGGGGCTGTAAGCCCCCTTATCGGCGATCAACGGGCGATTGGGGCACGCAAGAGTGACCCAAGTCAAGAGTGACCTTTGGTGTGCGGACTAAGGGGGCACAAGGTGGCCAAATCCAAGCGCGCACTCAGCCGCTATCGCATCGCGCTCAGCGATCAAGGGGGCCCCGATGAGCCTGCACCAACGGTCACTCCGGCGAAGGCTCACTCTTACGTGCAATCGATAACGTTGCCCCTGATTCGTCCGCCCGTCCCGCTCCTCGAGGGACTGCCCCAGCGGGATCCGCATGCCGCATATGTCGCAGAGTGCGGCCTCTCGAGGCTTCGTCTCGGGGACGGACAGAGACCCCTTTAGCAAAACGTGGTTTAGTGAAAACTACCTCGGGCCCACACCTGGCGGGCGCAAGCCTGGAAAGTGACGGCCGCGGCGCCCTCTCGAGAACCGAAAACGGACAATTCACTAATCGACGCGTCAGGGTAGGGGTTCTGTCCACCCCCGATAATCCAGACAGAGGAAGCCCAGATGGAGGTCGAGCACTCCGCGCGGACGCACTCCGCATGGGCTCCGCGACCGATCCAGATGCGCCAAGCCCAGACGGGGTAAGCCCAGACGGAGACAGAGTACCCCGTGCGGACTTACTTGAAGGGGCCCCAGGACACACAAATAAATACACACGAATAAAAAGATTCCCCATAGTTTCCCATATTTCTTGGGTTTTTGTCTTCCCCCCCACTTCTCATATTTTTGCATATTTCCCTGGGAGTCGACGATTAAGTGTGTCTGTGTGTTTCTTCCCCTCCTGATTACTCCGTATAGATTTTGCATCCTCCGAGTTGGCGATGCGCACAAGGGGGCAGGGGGAGGGGGGCAGGCTTCTTAAAAGGATGATGCTTCTTAGAAGGTGCCAGCCTTACATCCATCGATGAGGCCCGCACCTTCTAAGAAGCAGCCTCCCTCTGAAAGCCTTCCACATACACTTGTGAGCGCCGCCAACAGATGCACCGCCGATGCTTTGGCGTTGCGGCTCCATGTGGAGCCGAGCTCCTCCACGCCTAAGGCGCCGATGCATTGCCGACGTCGCTGATGCATCGCCGACGTATCGCGGTTGTGCGCGTGGCCGACTTCCTCCCAAACATGCGACGCCGTGATGTTTGCAATACAAGATCCCTGGAGATCCCGACCCTTTCCCCAGAACCGGTTCTTCGTCCTGGGTCGTTTCTTGACGACCCCGAGGCCCGGCGAGGGCCCTCCGAGGCCGAGAGTGGCCAAAAACCTCCCGCCCTGATTGTGTGTTACGACGCGATCATGTATGAGCTTGTATGAACTTGGCATTGGGTCGGGCATGTCCCCCTACAGGCGAATCTTGAGCGAAAAAATCAAAGTACTCCAACATACGCAACAAAAAGTGAAAAGAATCGACAAAATTGTCCCTAGCCTGTTTTTGACTATCTTGGAATACTCCTCCTGTAGAGGAACACGACCGACTGAAACCTGGCATCCTCCGATGGGACGCACGGAGACATACTAATACTATGTGTCCGCCTCGGAGGCGCGCGTCCGACCCGAACGTACAGTATACCCATCTTGTAGCATATCGTTTCCCGAGCGGCGTGGCCAGAAAGCGCTCGCCCCGGCGCATATACTATAAGACTTCTCGGTGCGCGCGTCGCCCCTGGGGGGGGGGCGACGCACATGTAGTATATGTATGTTGGGCTGGCGCCGAGGACACGCCCGGCTGAAACTTTAGGGGAACGAAAAATGACATAAACATAAAAGCTCGGGGGTCCGCGCGGATTTCTCGGATCCGCGCTGGACCCCCATCCCCGGCGCGCGGAGCGCGCCAGGGGCGGCGCCGCCGGGGGGCCCCAGCGCCGATCCAAGAAATCCGCGCGGACCTCCGAGTTGTTATGTTTATGTCACTTTTCTTGAGCAGGGACCGACCGTCCCGGCATCCCTAGAGTCCTACCACGAAATGTTCTTAGAACCCAAACATGTTCTAAGAACAAAAGCACTGTTCTCAGAACATAAGCCCCATGTGTTAAAACAAGACGATATCCGCCAGAAATGCTCTAAGAACATCTCGTGGGAAGCACAAAAAGGTTCCTAGAACACTGCTTGGTGGGGCTAGGAGGCGAGCCAGGACGCTTCGCCACTGCTTGATCTTCGTTCCCCCAAACTTGGCATCCTCCGAGGCCTCGGCCTCGGCCTCGGCCTCGGCCCCGCCCTCGCCGGCCGCGGGCGGGCCGCCACGCTCGGGCGCGCCGAGCGGCGGGCCCGGGCGGGGCGCCCCGCCGGCGCCGGCGGCGTGCTTCGCCAGGGCGTGCTGCTGCAGGGAGGCCTGCGGGCGGGGGCGGGCACGGGGGGCGAGCAGGGGCGAGGCGGCCTCGTGAAGGGGCCCTGGGACACAGAAGTAAAAGCACACACAAATAAAAGGGCTCCCCTATATTGTCCCATATTGTTTCTGGGTTGTTGTCTCCCCCCCCACGTCCCATATTTTCCTATATTTTCCTGGGGCTCCACGATCAGTTGTGTCTGTGTGTGTTTTTTCCCTCCTGAGTCCTGGCGTGCCTGTGGTCCTGCCAAGCGATGTTCGAAGACCCTCTCGTGGCTCCCACGAAAAATGTTCTCGGAACACTTCTGGCGGAGTCTGTCTTGTGCTATCACATCGGGCTCATGATCTGAGAGCATTGTCTTTGTTACTCGAACATACTTTTGGGTTCTAGGAACATTTCGTGGTAGGACCATAGGAATGCCGGGGCGGTCGGTCCCTGCTCAACAAGTGGGGGAGGGGGGGGCACATGCGAACCCTGCCCCAGACATGACCGCGTCGTAAAAAAAATCAGGGCGGAAGGTTTGGGGCCAATTTCGGCCTTGGGGGGCCCTCGCCGGGCCTCGGGTCGACCGTCAAGGAACGACTCAGGATGAAGAACCAGCCCCGGGGGAAGGGTCTGGACTTCTGGGGACGCCGTCCTGAAAACACCAGGACGTCGTATGTCTGGTACCCCCACCCCCCCACGATGTCCGAGGGGGAGGGTGGGGTTCACTCCGCTCGGGCGCTCCCGAACGAAGAGAACCCCACCCTCACCATTCGGCGGTGGACAAACCTCCCTTTCGTAAACCTCCCCTTAGTGAAAACGGCCCAGGACCGAAACCGACGGACCTGGACCCGCAAGAATGACGGCTGCGACGCCCTCTCGCGAACCGAAAACGGCCAACTCGCTGATCGACGTGTCAGGGTAGGAGGTCTGTCCACCCCCTCAAAAACCGTGGGGGTAGAGGTGGGGTTCGCACGTGGCCCCCTAGCGGGGGGGCCCGGCGCGAGGGGAGGCGGCCTTCGGAGAAGGCGAGGGCTAGGTCGAGCGTGTCCTCCTACAGGCGGATCTTGGAAGAAGCATGAAAACTAGTCAAGACAGAAAAGTAATCGAAAAATCGTCCCCAGACTATGTTTTGACTATTCTTGCACGCTCCTCCTGTAGAGGAACGTGCCCGACGTACGGCGAGGGGAGCTTCTGACCCAAATCCCCCTCGAGTCACGGAACAAAAACACCACGGTAAGTGTTTCGCTGTGCTCGGCCTCTGGGATCGGGGATGGACAGACCCCCCTTTAGTAAAACGTGGTTTAGTGAAAACGATCTGAGGCCCAAACCTGGCGGGCGCAAGCCTGGAAAATAACGGCCACGGCGCCCTCTCGAGAACCGAAAACGGACAATTCACTAATCGACGTGTCACTGTTGGGGGTTCTGTCCACCCCCGATGGGACCCCTGATGCCGGCCCTCGGGGCCGTCAAACAAAAAAAGGCTCGGGATGAAAAAGCGGCCCCGGGAAGGCGCCGATCGAGACCTCGGGGGCCCGACGCGGTGAAAAGAGGAGGACGTCGGCGCTCTGGGAGACGGCTTCCGCCCTGCCCTCTCAGAGTCATTGCGCCCGCCCTCGCTCAAAAAAGTAATGAGGAGCCAATGAGGAGGAGGAATTGGAGGAGGAGGAGGAAGAAGAGGAGGAGGAAGAGGAGGAGGAGGAGGCATGGCTCCTCGCCCTGACTCTAAGAGTAATGAGGAGGCCTTGGAGACCTCGGAGCCCCCCTGCCCTCTAAGAGTCCTTGCACCGGCCTTGCAGACGCGCTGCAGCGGCTTTACGCGTAGATCCTTGCCCATGCAAAACCTGAAACAGGCGAGCGAAAAACGAAGTGAATTTCGCGTGGATGTTTGTTGGTCTTCCTTCCTGGCCCAAAAAGATCCGCACGCAATTCGCCTCGAAATCCACAACGAAATTCTCGAGGGCCCTCCAGGCCCATCAGATCATCGTCCGAACGAAATCCGCTCTGCGATGTTGGCACCATAAACTGTATGGCCTGAGAAGTTACCTTGGAATTCGGTGTTGGTGGTAATATTCGGTGTTGGTGGTAATATTTCGGTCACCTTGGAAGCCAGAATATTACCACCATCACCGAGATCGGGATTTTCTTTCCTCGGTGGAGGAACGCCGCCGATCTTGGTGTTGGTGTCAACCTCTAGGCCTGCGAGTATGGCCTGCACCGGCTTCCGCCTGCGGCGGGCCACTCCACCGCCGTCGGCGTCCTCCGGCAGGCCGCCGGCTGCCGCCGAGGGAGAGAGATCGCCGAAGGCGAGGCCCCTCTCTCTGGAACGCCCCAAATAAGAGGGCAGGCAGCAGCAGCAGCAGGTGGATACAGGGCAGTTTTTGATTCATGGGATCTTTTAAAATATATGGTTTGATTAATTTATGAATAAATTCATGCATGAACTCATCGTTGTTTTAAACACTAAATCCTTTTAATACATAGAATTTAGAATTATATGACTTTTAATACATGAGCGTGAGGGCGGCAGGAGGGCGGCGCGAGGGCTTGCGGGACCGCTGGCCCTGCCACCGGGCAACGCCCTTGAGGCAACAGCCTCCAGGGCAGTTTTTGATACATGGGATCTCTAAAATATATGATGCTTAATGCATGGTTGATGTGAGAATAAAGTTATGCATGAGCTCATCGTTGTTTTTAACACTGAATCCCTGCAAGTGTAATGCATGGTCCGCACGCGGAGCATGCCTTAAAAACGGCACTGCATGTTGGCCAGCTGGGAGGAGAGGCCCCCCGCCCTCACGGAGGAGGTGGCCCCCTCGCGCGCTGCCCCCCCTCCCTCCCGCCGCCGAGCCTGGTCGCGGAAGCAGCGGCCACACTCGGGGCAGGCGAACGCCTCTCCCGCCGCGGCCTCCCGGGCTTCGGTCGGGCATGTCCTCCTACAGGCGGATTTTGGAGGAGGACCAAAAAAAACATCGACAAAAAGATTCGAGTATACCGTACACCAAAACATCTTTCCTAAACATCTTTCCCAGACTATTTTTACCTATTTTTGGATACTCCTCCGGTAGAGGGGCGCGCCCGACTTAATCCCAGGCCTCGCCGTACTTCTGGAGCTCGTGCACCTGCCGCCGGTGCGTGCGCAGCCCCTGCGCGCAGGAGAAGACCCTGCCGCACAGGTCGCACGTGGCGCTCGCCGCGGGCCGGCACGAGGTCGGGTCCGCGTCGGCGGAGCCGCCGCGAGCAGCGCGAGCGGCGTCTGATGCGGCCGCAGGCAAGACGGTGCTGGGGCCGGGGGCCTCTGGCACAGGGCAGTCGGCGGACGGCCGCGCGTGGTGGAGCCAGCTGCGCATCTCGGGGGTCCCCGGTGCCGCGTGCCTCTGCGAGTGCAGGTTCTTGAAGGACTTCCCGGTCGTGTTCCGCTTGCACTCGTAGCCCGGGAAGTCGCCAGCGCGGAACTGGACTGGCGTCGACAGCGCGAGCCCAAGCCGCTCCGCCTGCACCGACAGCTCCCAGCGCGCCTCCTGCCCCTCCAGCAGGCTGAGCACGATCCTGCCGCCGGGGCGCAGATGCCGCAGGGCGCAGGCGAAGAAGTGCGCCAGGAGGCGGCCGTGCAGCCGGCAGTTCTCCGTGCCGAGGTGGGGGTGGTTCCACGCGATGACGTCCCAGCACGCCTCCTCGCCCAGGGTGCCGGCCAGGTCCCACGCGTTCACCCCGAAGCGGGCCTCCGCGCGCGGCGAGCCGCGGTGGGCGCTCAGGCGCGCCAGGATGCCGGCCGCCTCGGGGTACTTCTGGACCACCTCCTCGGCGGACTCGTAGCACGAGGCCACGACGTGGGCGCGCCGGGCAGCCGCGGGCAGCAGCCCCAGGTAGGCCTCGGCCGGGCAGGGCCCGCCGCCGGCGAGCTGCGACGCCAGCGCGAGGGCAAAGGAGAAGTTGGCCTCGCCCCAGGGGCTCGACCAAAGCAGGTGCTTTCCGTTGTCGTTGCGTGTGGGTTCGTTTTCGCTCGTTTCGACGGCGTCCCGCCTTCGCTGCACTGGCCATCGCTCGGACGTCCATTCCCTGTGTTTTTTTTCGATCTCGTGCGCGGTTTTTTTTCTCGCAGGATGATCCAGGATGCTCCTCAATGCTCCCCGCCCAGAAAAAAACGTGCACACGCCCGAGCGATACCAAGCGTGCAAAACGAAAGCGACGCGAGGACGGCCTCCTCCTCCTCCTCCTCCTCCTCCTCCTCCTCCTCCTCCTCCTCCTCCTCCTCCTCCTCCTCCTCGCCCCCGAGGCCGCGGCAAAAAACACCGCTTGGGCCGAGCCCTGCCTCGCCCAGCAGCAGCACCCGGGGGCCCTCCGCCGCCGCGCCCGCGTCCGGCGGCCCCGCCGCGGCGTCCATCGGCGCAGAGGGGGAGGGAAGGGAGGGGGAGGAGGAGGAGGAGGAGGGGGAGGAGGAGGAAGAGGAGGAGGAGGAGGAGGAGGAGGAGGAGGAGGAGGAGGAGGAGGAGGAGGAGGAAGAAGAGGAGGGGAGGAGAAGGAGGAGGAGGAGGAGGAACAAGGGGAGGAGGAGGAGGAGGAGGAGGAGGGAGGAGGAGGAGGAGGAGGAGGAGAGAGGAGGAGGAGGAGGAGGAGGAGGAGGAAGGGGGACGAGGGGGGGGAGGAGGAGGAACAGGGGGACGAGGGGGAGGAGGAGGAGGAGGAGGAGGAGGAGGAGGAGGGAGGAGGAGGAGGAGGAGGAGGAGGAGGAGGAGGAGGAAGACGGAAGGGGGACGAGGGGAGGAGGAGCGAGGAGGAGGAGGAGGAGGAGGAGGAGGAGAAGACGCTGCTCGGAGCGAGAAACGCAGAAACGCAGGAGGAGGAGAATGAGGAGGAGGAGCAGGAGGAGGGGGAGGGAAGGGGAGGGGGGGGAGACAGAGGGCGCGGCGAGTCGCTGCAGCTCCCCCTTCAGAGCCGAGTTGGAGCTTCAGCCCAGGTGGCGGCGTCCGTCCGCCGAGTCCGCCCCCGCCCCGGCCTCGTCGACGTCGAGCTCTCCGGAGAGGCGGAAGGGGGGAGGAGAGAGCTGGGAGGCAGGCCAGGTGCGCCCGTGCCACATCTGACGTGCTGCCTGCCGTCCGCCCCTCCCCATCGCATGGAGTGCTGATCTACTCGCCAAAACGGATGTCGCGTCGGGCCTTCTCCTTCTCCTCCCTCTCCTCCATCTCGTCCCTCTCCTCCTCTCCTCTCTCTACCTCCCCAACGTGATCCCACAAAGGGTTTACAGAACGGCTGGGGGAGCTTATAGTTCAATAGCTTGGCCAAGTATGTGTCAAACGTTTGGCCACACCCGTCTCAGATAGGCAGGAGGCGGCGGTAACTCGGCGTAGGCGTCACAAAAAGTTAGGGGATGATCCAGGTTCGGCTCGTTCCCCCCCTGCTCGAAGGCCTGCACCACGCACGCCATCCGATGTTTGGGAGGGTGTTCAGGCGTTGTCTTCCTGACAGTAGCGCAGAAAACAAAAGAACTGGCCTGCCCGCATGTGTCCGACGGGGACATGCTGTTTTGAGGAGGCCCCGCGAACCGCTTGAAATAATGAGGCCCCTCTCGAAGCTTAAGATCGGCGAAAATGTGTCCCAGGATTCTGGCACCAAGATCCATGAACGCATCACGTACCATTCTTTTTAGGAGAGCGTAGCGGTACGTGTGCGTGGCTCCTCTCTTCCAGAGAAGGGCGGAGCGTTGGCGGCAAGGGGACAGGCTAGAACAAGCGCGAAGGCAGCAAACGGCGCTCTCAGGCCACAGGGCTGCAGGAACACTAACTATGGGCTCAAGGGGCAACGTGTACGTGGAGCACGGCAACAAAGACGGATGGAGATGGGGAAAGACGAGGAAGAGGAGGGACGAGGAAGAGGAGAAAGAGGGAGGAAGAGGAGGAAGAGTGAGGAAGGAGGAAGAGGGGAAGACGAGGAAGAGGACGAGAAGGACGAGATAGAGAAAGACGAGGAAGAGGATGAAGAGGGGAAGACGAGAAGAGGAGAACGAGGAAGAGGATGAGACGAAAGTTGACGAGGACGAGGACAGCGACGATGAGGAAGAGAGGGAGCGCGGCGAAGACACCGACGAGACGGGATTCGACGAGGACGAGGAGGACAAGGACGAGGAAGAGAGGCCTCGCAGAAGCCGCGGAGAGTGGGAAGGACTTCCCTCCTCATCCCTCCTTAACCCCCTCCTACTCCCCATCCTCCTCATCTTCCTCCTCCGCCTCCTCCTCACCACCACCACCACCACCACCACAACCATCATCATCATCATCATCATCATCATCATCATCATCATCATCATCATCATCATCAGCATCATCATCATCATCATCATCATCATCATCATCATCATCACCACCATCATCATCATCATCATCATCATCATCATCATCATCATCATCATCAGCATCATCAGCATCATCATCACAATCATCATCAGCTGCATCAGCAGCAGCAGCATCATCATCGGCATCATCATCACCAGCAGCAGCATCATGGTCATCATGATCAGAATCATCAGCATCAGCAGCACCATCATCAGCATCATCAGCATGATCATCATCCTCAACAACAATACCAACAACCACAACAACAATGACAACAATAACAACACCAACAACTACAACAACATCAGCAGCATCAGCATCGTCATCATTATCCAGCATCATCATCATCAGCATCATCATTAGCATCGTCATCCTCGTCATCAGCAGCATCGTCAGAATCGTCATCAGCATCAGCATCATCAGCATAATCATCATCAACAGCATCAGCATCAGCATCCTCATCATCATCATCATCATCAGCAGCAGCAGCAGCAGCATCAAGATGTTCGGTTGGTTGCTGGTGTGTCAGTACATCGACGGAGAAAAGAGGAGAACGAGGAGGAGAAGGAGGAGGAAGAGGGGGAGGAGGAGGAGGTGGACGACGACGACCACGACGAAGGCGTCGGCTGCCACTCGTTCAAGAGAGGAGCAGCAAGAGGAGAAGCAGCAGGAGAAGGAGGGAGAAGGAACAGGCAAGGAGGGCGGAGGGTCACGAGGGAGGAGGGAAGAGGAGGAGGGAGGAGGAGGGAGGAGGGAAGGAGGGACGAGAAGGATGGGAGGGAGGCGAAGCTGTCGAAAGAGGAGGAGGTAGGTGGGGGAGGGAGGGAGGGAGGGAGAGAAGGGAGGGGAGGGAGGCAGGGAGGCAGGGAGGCAGGGAGGAGAAGGAGGACGAGGAGAAGGAGGAAGGAGGAGGAGGAGGAGGAGAGAAAGAGGAGGAGGAGGAGGGAGGAGGAGGAGGAGGAGGAGGAGGAGGAGGAGGAGGAGGAGGGGAGGAAGGGGCGTCGAGCAAAACGATAGCTCCTCCGCCTGCCGGCGGGGTGAGACCGCGACAGGGCGCGCCGCCACACGGCGCGCGCTGGAGGCGGCGGCCGCCCGAGGGCCGCGCAGCCGCGCCAGCCGCGGAATGAGGGCCAGCCGGCGCGCCGACCGCCGAGCGCTGGGCGCCACACCTCAGACCTCGGGCGAGCGCGTAGAGGAGGAGGGGGAGGAGGAGGAGGAGGAGGAGGAGGAGGAGGAGGAGGAGGAGGAGGAGGAGGAGGAGGAGGAGGGAGGGAAAAGCAGGAGGAGGAGGACCTCTTCCTCCCTCCCTCCATCCCTCCCCTTCCTCCTCCCTCCCGCCGCCGCATCGACGCCCCTCGGCCCCGCCCGCCCCAGCCCAGACAGACACACTTGGCGGCGTTCCTGTCGGGGCGGACGGCAAATGGGGGATGGCAAGGAGGGGGGGGGGCGTGAACGAAGCAGGTCGCGCAGCGGCGCCGGAGGCGCCCATGTGTCGAGGGCAGTGCCTGGCGGCGGGGCCGAAACCAGCTGCACGCAGCACATCTCGTGACCCCCCGCTTTCCCTGTTGTCCCCCCCCTCCTCTTCCCTCTGGACGGAGCCGTCTGGGATCCAGGAGGCCTGGAGGGCTTCCCGGTGAAGGCGGGGAGCTTCTCAGAAGCCCCCACGCCTTCGGAGGAGCCCTGTCAGGAGCCCCCGGGCCTTTCTGAAGCACCTCGGCCTTCCAAGAAGGCCCCGCCTCCTCAGAAGGCCGCCCCCCCCCCGCGCCACCCCCCGCCTGGCACCACGCATCCAAACACGATGGCGCCTCGCTCTTGCTCCTGCCGCCGCCTGCCGCAGAGCCTCCGCCGGCGGAGCTGCCGCCGTCCTGCGCCCCAGCGGCGTCCGTCGACCTTCCGCCGGTCTGCGTCGGGCGCGGCCTGGCCGAGCCCTGGCAAGCCAGCCCCTTCCGCGACGTCGTCCTCGCCTTCCGAGCTGCCCTCCGGCCGCAGACATGCAGTGCGGGCGCGGCCGCAAGAAACCTTCGCAAGAAACCCAACCCTGAGAACCCGCGCGCGAGGTGCACCTGAGGTGAAGCCCGGAGCACCCTGAACGCAGCCGGTCCTTCAACGGCTGCGGGAAGTCACCGCGCAGCGCGAGGAGCGAAGAAACCCAGGATACCCTGACGAAAAGCATATGGTTTCTTGATGCGCGCCCCCACTGTACGTCTCGGGGCGAGGCGAGGGGGACATCACGGAGGGGGATGGTTTGCTAGGGGTCGGTCAGGCCGCCCCTGATTGCGCCAGAGGCCAGAGTGCGCCGAGGCGAGGCCCGTTCTGGGGCGCACCGGGAGCTCTACCCCTGCAAGGCAGGGTTCTGGAAAACGGGCTGAGGGTCAGAATCCAAAGGATGCCTCCAGCCAGGGGGCGGGCCTGGCGCGGGTGTGCGAAAGCCCAGCGTCGATGGGATACGTAGGGGTATGGTTCCCAAGCGGTCGCAAAATCGAGAAACACATCGCGCCAGAAGGTTCTCACCGACTTCGATGTTTGTTTTGCGGGGGCCCTGGGACACACAAATCAATAGACACAAATAACAGGATCCCCCATATTTTCCCATAAGTTCTGGGTTTTTGTCTTCTCCCCCACTTCCCATATGTTCCCATATTTTCTGTGGAATCGACGATTAATTGTGTCTGTGTGTTTGTTTGTTCCTCCTGAGTTGTGTGTGTGGGGGGGGGGGGGGGCTTCCAGGCCCCCGCGGCCTGCAGAGATCGACCCTGCACGGAACGCCTGCCCCAGGGAAGGGGTCGAGGCTTCCCAAGGGGCCCGCGCCACGAGGAGATCGCGGCGGCGCCTGATGTCTGGGATAGGGGGCCACATGCGAACCCTACCCCTACCCCCAACCATTTCGGAGGGGGAGGGTGGGGTTCACTTCGCTCGGGAGCTCCCGAACGAAGTGAACCCCACCCACAGGGTTGATTTTTATACATTGGATGTTGGAGAATATTGGATTTTCTTAATACATGATTAATGTATGAATAAATGTATGCATGAACTCATCGTTGTTTTAATACTAGATTAAACCCCTGCATCTTTTAATACATGATCCGCACGCGGAGCATGTATTAAAAACGGCACTGTAATTGGTTTGCGACGCCCCAGTGTCAGGGAGCGTCGGTTAAACGACGAGCACAGTACTGCGCCCTCGCGCCTCACAGGTCGAGGTCCGTGAAGATCGCGCCGCACTGGTCGCTCATCTCCTGGAGGCGCCCGTGGATGCTGTGCTGCGGCGGCTCCGGGTCCCTCGCGGAGGCCGCGGCACTGGCGTTGGCGCTGTGGAGCTTGGCGAGCAGCTTCTGCGTCTGCTCCGCGGACAGCGACCTCGCGGAGGAGGGGGAAAAGGTGCAGGGCGACGGCCAGCTCCCGCGGGGCACCCCGAGGAAGGAGCGGGACCGCAGGCGTGCCCAGAGAAGGGGCTGCTCCGCAGCAGAGGCAGAGGAGCATGGCAGAGCCGCCCTCGCGCGCCCGGCCTCGGCGCGCGGAGGCGGGCGGGGCGAGGGGGGGGGGCGGCCTTCCAAGGGGGTGCGAGGCCTTAGCAGCCCTGTCAAAGGGATTCTGCCCCCTGCTGGGGTTCTCTATGGAAGGGAGGGAGGGAGGGAGGAAGGAGGAGGAGGAGGAGGAGGAGGAGGAGGAGGAGGAGGAGGAGGAGAGCTTCTAAGAGGCGGGACGCCTTCTCACAGGGAGGAGGAGAAGTTCTCGAAGTTCTCTATGGAAGGGAGGAGAGCTTCTAAGAGGCGGGGCGCCTTCTCACAGGGACGCCCCCCTCGCCCGGCTCCCACCCGCGTGCCGTCGAGGGAGGCAGAGCGCGAGCAGAGCAGCCTGCGCACTCCCCTGGAGGCTCTCTGGAGCCACAGCACACGTTCACAAAAAATATGGAACGGAACGGAACGGAACGGTCGCTGAAAACGAGCTGCGCGCGCGCGGCTACGTGCCCTCACGGGCTCAGCGGGAATTGGTCAGCCCATCGTGTGAGAGGTCGCCCGCGGGCTCTCCGCCCACCAAGTATCCAATCGTGGACTCGCCGGGCCCACCGGTCGTAGCTCATGCCATTGAGTCTTTCGCTCCAGCCCTGCAGCCGGGATCGGCGCTCCTCCGTCCAGCAGGGTACGTGGTGTTCCTCCATCCAGTGGCGTGCCTCCGTTGTCACACGCTGTCCCCAAAAATATGCGGGGACGTAATTACCCAACCCGTCCTACACATATGGCGACTGTCAGCAGGACCGCTTAGACGAAAACAACGTATGCACATGTTTGCTGCCTCCCCTTCAGCGCTTCGCCAAAAAAAACGCTTGGCCAGGCGCAACGTCCCCCATTCACGCAAGGACTCTTGCAATCGAAATTGGAAGCGGCAAGACACGAGCTGCCCCTCTCAGGACCTCACGAACGTGGCGACAGCCTTGCAGATCGCAGCCCCCCCCCAAAGGGACGGCGAGGTCTCGATCTGATGCGCGTATGACGGCACTGCGCTAGGCCTCCCAGGAGCTCACGAAAGTGACGACGGCTTCGCGGCCCCAGCGGGTCGCACAACCACTCGTGCGGTGACTTGGCCGCTGCTCCGACCAGTCTTCCTCTGTCGCACGGCTCACGCCGAGCCCCCTCACTCTACCTGCACAACTGCGGCACCAAGCCACTCGCCTCCAGCGGACATCCCACCGCTCCCCCTGCGGGAGTCGCGCACACTGGGGTCGAGAGCTCCGGTCCGCGACAAAATAGTGTGGAGATCTACAGAACGCAACCGCGACAGTCGACCGCTTGGGTCTTAACGCTGACACGGTTCGACACCGCACTCATCGACGTCCGCACCAGTCGGAGATGGGCAATCGACGCCGAGCGGTCCTGTTTGACCCCTCGTCCGAGAGCTCCACCCCAGAACTGGAATGTGGTCGAAGGCGGCAGGGTGAACAGGAAGGGATGGAGTTCCCGAGCTCAGGCACTCTCTCGTTCACCCCCACTCCTGCACGGCCAATGAGGGACGACTACTGCGCGGGCAGGAGAAGGGATCGACGGAACGCCACCCGAGAGACTGCAGGGCAGGAACCCCTACCAAGAGGTCCGCCACCCTCAGATCCTCCTCACTCCCCCCAGTCGCCGCCCCGACACGAGCGTTCTCTTACTCAGTTGGGCAAGCATCCAACCAGTAGGGTTTCCGCATACGCGAGGCTGCGGTTGAATTGGCCGACTCGATCGAGGAATCACTTGTGGACTACCCAGGCGAGCCGTTGCCCTGACCACCAGTGGAGCATCATCTGCCCAGTGAGTGTACTGCAGCATTCCCAGCTTAGCAGCCGATGAAATTAACAGCTCACCTGATCGAACCAATCCGAGCGCCACGCGTGCACGTCTAACATGGAATCTCAGGTCGACGCGTCCGTCCACACGCCCATCCCCCCACACGCTCGGGGCAGCAAGTTCGACAAGCATGAGGTAAAAGAGGAGAGAGGGGGACCAGGGGAAGGAGAACGACGAGGGGGATGAGAAAGAAGAGGGGAGGACGAGGGGAAGGACGAGGGAGAGGAGGACTTTGCTCCGGCGCTCCCACTGTAGCCGTCGAAGAACTTCAGGATCTCCATCTGGCAAGCCACCCGCTGCTTCTGGCCGCCTTGGCGGAGGATACAGGGGCTCACGGAGGAGGAGGAGAAAAGGTCGAGGTCAGGGTGATGTGGCCAGCCTGAAGTCGGGCCTGTCCCCCTACAGGTGGACTTTGGAGGAAAACATGAAAAGAGCCCCAAAAAACTCCACGATCGGCAAAACAAAGAATCAAAAAATGGTCCCCAGACTAGTTCTTTACTATGTTTGAATACTCCCCCTGTAGAGGGACAGGCCCGACGTAAGGCCAGCCTCGTGAAAAGGCAGGGGGGGGCCAGAAGGAAGCGGCCATCCCTGAACGGTTACGCTCCCCGACCCCTCCGAGGAGGAAGGGGCAGAGCCTCGAGAGGGGCGGACCTCTGTTCGTGCCCCAGGCCCCCTGCCGCCCAGAGCAGGGTTCGGTCGGGCACGTCCTCCGACAGGGGGATTTCTGGGCGAAAGTAACGAGCCAACAAAAAAATAAGCCAACATAGTCGAAAGAATGTCCCCAGGCTTCTTAAACAAAAGTACTTGTGAATCTTCCTCCTGTATAGAGGGACAGGCCCGACTCAAGAGTAGGGGGGAGTAGAGCGGGCGAGGAAGGGCAGAGCGCGGGTCGCCGACCTGAGAAGGCGCACCCCGTGCCGGGAAGCTGGAAGCACACGTGGCTGGACCCACGGGCTGAACACGCGGGGCCAAGCGCTGGATGCGCCCGCGGATGGCCGGGATCCCCAGCAGCGCTCGAGGGTCGAGCGCCGCCAAGGCGTGCGGTCACACGTGCATCCAGCTCACGCCCACGCCCGCCCACATGTGGAGTGCACACAGCTCCGAGCGGGAAACCAAAAGGCACCGGTGCCGCTCCTCCCGGGACCTCTCCCAGCCTCGGCGACGAGAGCCTCCCAGGGAAGCCCCGGGGGGGAGGGGGGCACGGGGAAAGGGTAGCGGTGCCGGTGCCCTTCGCTCCTCGGAGCTCCCTGGCAGAAGGCTGGCCCCAAAGATCCCCTGGACCCCTCTTGCTCGCGGCTGCGCACCCTCGCCGCCCAGCAGGCCAACCACGGGGAGCGCCGGCGCGGAGGCGGAGGCGGCGAGGCCGGGGTGCGACGCCTGGTGGCCTGTCTGCAGCGCGGCCACTCTGGCCATCTCCTGGCACAGCCGGAGAGCATCCACGCGCCCTCCACCTCGAGAGCCCTGCCTCCGGGCCGCGCCGGGGCACGGACCTGCGAGGCGGTGGGCAGTGGCGCACTCTGGCGGCGGGGTCCTTCTTGGCCCTGGCCATCTCCGCCTCCCTCTCCAGGCGCGCCGCTCGCTCCTCCAGCAGCGCCTGGACGCGCGCCTCCTTCGCCGCCTCACGCTCCGCGCGCCGCTGCGCGCCATTCTGCGGCGGCCCCGCGGGCGCGGCTCGGCGCTCCTGCAGGTCCTCCTCCGCGATGGCCGCGTGCACCTGCGCCCCGTGCTGGCAGAAACGGCCCCCAGGCACGTCCCCCTGGCAAGCCCCCGTGCACGTCTCCCTGGCAAGCCCCCCTGGCACGCCCCCATGGCACGCGCCTGGGACGCACCATCGCCGGTGCCTGAGCCTGGGCCGCAGCATCCTCCAGCGAGCACGCACGGAATACACTCCGGAGGGTCCTGGAACGCACGTTGGGCTGCGCAGATTCCAGGATCGTGCAGAGAGCGCTTGCGAAACATGCCCCGGACCTCAAACCTGAGCCTGGGGCTCCTGGCGGCCGCAAGATCGCTTCTCCTCGCTCCCCTTAGCTCCTCGCTCCTCGCTCTCCAGCTCTTCGCTACCCGCTCCTCGCGCCTCCTCCTCCTCCTCTTCCTCCTCCTCCTCCTCCTCCTCCTCCTCCTCCTCCTCCTCCTCCTCCCTCCCTCCTCCTCCTCTCCTCCTCCCTCCTCCTCCTCCTCCTCCTCAACCTCTCCTCCTCCTCTTCCTCCTCTCAGGGTACCTTAACTCCTCCTCCTCCTCCTCTCCTCCTCCTCCTCCTCCTCCTCCTCCTCCTCCTCCTCCTCCTCCTCCTCCTCCTCCTCCTCCTCCTCCTGGGAGTCCAAGAAGCACAAGGCAGGGGCAGACGGGATGGACGAGGACGAGGACGAGGTGGACAGCACGATGGCCACCATGCAAGCGCTGCTGGTCCAGCTGGAAGGCCGAGTACGAACGCTCGAGAACGAAGCGCACCGCACCACGCTCATCGCCAAGAAAACGCCGATCGTGAAGGCCATCAGCGACAGCTTCCAGGCGTTCGTGCAGAAACGCAAGGAGGCGGCGGAGGGGACAGACATAGGCACGCCAGCGTTCCACTGCCTTTTCGGGGCTCTCTACGCTATCTCGAGCTACGAGCACAAGGACGCCTCCCCCCGCCTCCAGAGCGCGTTGGCGGCGCTCAAACGACTGCAGGCCATGCTGGAGCACGGCACACCCCAGGACGCGGAGAAGTGGATCCTAGAGCTGATGGTTCTGCCGATGTTCGACAAGCCAGGGAAGGAGAGCAAGGTCCGTATTATGTTCAGTTTCCACGGAGAGGTGCTGCTCTCCAAGGATCAGGCAGTGAACGAGACACTCCTGAAGGCGGTGAAGGAGAAGGACAGCGAGCTGCACAGCCTCAGCCCAACGGAGAAGCCGACGGAGATGTACAAGCTACAGGGAACGCTCGTGCCAGTCGAGACCCTCTTCGCGGAGGCGCTGAGGAGCATGGGCGGTCAGCTACTTGGAGGACGGGCACCAAGAGGCAACATGGTGAGGCAGCTTGGAGGTGGAGCTCGGGGACGTAAATGAGTTACAAACACAGGCGTGGCCCCTGCCGCAGTTCCCCTTTGTTGGGGATAGTTGTTCCTCGGCAGGGACCCGAACATACATTCCGTGTCTAGGGGGACGTCTACATCTATGGCGTTGTGAAGTACCTAATTGAGTATGAGCCCACAGATGACAATGACACCTTCCTCCCCACCCCGATGTCAGAGAATGGAAACCTCATCACCGAGGACTCGGAGGAGCATTGACAGGTGTGGATCACAGATGTGGCCAACTCGTTCGTGACGTGCTGGGTCCTGGCGACGTGAGTGGCCTTTCGGCATCGTGCCGCACCCCCGCGCTGGCCCCAGTCTGCGGGCATCAGCCCTCGCAGGCTTGCAGAATACCAGAGAGGGGTGGGAATACACAGGTGTTTTCCCCCGACCCAGGATCAATTTTCCTTGAAACTGTCTGTGGGACTTGATCTGAATGGGCAGAGAGAGAGAGAGAGAGAGACTCCTCCTCCTCCTCCTCCTCCTCGCCAGCGACGGCGGACGCGCAGGCGGGAGGCCAGGGCCGGCGGGGCGAAGCAGGCGGGCAGGCGGGGCGGCCCCCGGAGACGGCAGGGGGGAGGCCGTTGACCGCACCTGGGGAGCACCGTGCTCAGCAACTGCACGCCGCAGCCAGCCCTGGCCAACCTCCTCCTCCTCCTCCTCCTCCTCCTCTCCTCCTCCTCCTCCTCCTCCCCTCCTCCTCGTCATCATCATCATCATCATCATCATCATCATCATCATCATCATCATCATCTCATCATCATCATCATCATCAGCATCAGCATCAGCATCAGCATCATCATCATCATCAGCAGCAGCAGCATCATCAGCAGCATCAGCATCATCATCATCATCATCATCATCATCATCATCATCATCATCATCATCATCATCATCATCATCATCATCATCATCATCATCCTCATCCTCATCCTCATCCTCATCCTCATCCTTCTCCTCATCCTCATCCTCATCCTCATCCTCATCCTCATCATCATCCTCATCCTCCTCATCCTCCTCACCCTGGGCCCTGGACAGGCGTGGCGTGCAGTTTCCAGCTTCTAGATGTGAATGCGCACTGGCATCGGCATGCAACGAATGCCGCTGGCTTGGTGCCGAAGCAGTTGCTTGTAGTGCCGCTCAGCTTGGGTCGCCAGCCCCCCGCCCGACCACCGAGTCCTCGGTCTGAATCGCTCTGGCTCGCTGAATCGCAAATCACGACCAGTGCGCTGCCACCCGTTTGCACCCAATCAGTCCTGCTTCCGAGCCATGACATCCGAAGACGGGGACAGGAGCGAGGGGCTGGTCTGGGCTAGACCATGTCGAAACAAGACGCAAGCCAGCCGCAGGCCGTAATTGCAGCACGGGCCCCGCGCCGCTAGTGGAGCCCCGGAGTTCCCCGGGCTGGACCCCCCGCCCCTGACCTGCTCCCGGGGGGCGGGCGAGAGAGGGGGGGGGGGGGGGGCACATCCCCACTTCGGGGGTTCGAAGAAGAAACGATCGAGAGAACGAACCACCACTGCGGACAATCGTCGGGGCCTAGCTGAGACCAGGTGAGGGAGGCTATGGCCTGCGGGAACATGTAAACATGCAGCGGGACTGTGAAACAAACGAGAGGTGACTCCAGAGGGGGGAATGAGGAGGAAGGGGCCCTGGCTGCGGATGCCGCCGAAGTGCCCCGAGGCAGGGGGCCACGAGGACGGAGGACAGGGCCTCGAGGATGCACTCGAGCTCCTCGGGGCCCGGGGCCCCGCGCCTCGGGGCCTCAGTGGCCCCGCCCCCCCCCCGGCCGGCACGACGCCGCGGGATCCCGGGCCGAGCACCGCGGGCAGGCACTGCGGCAGGCGGGCGGAGGACGAGGAGCGCAACGCCAGCCAGGCGCGGCGCGCCCCGAACTTGCCAGCGCGCGTGCGCAGAAAACGGGGGGCTCGCGCGGCAGAAGGCGCAGCGCTGAAGTCGGGGGCGTCCAGGAGAGGGAGGGGGGGGTGCAAGTCCTGACAGGCGGCGTGCGCGCGGCCCAGGGGGGGTGGGGGCGGGGACGCATCGAAACAGGAAGAGGCGCCATGAACTCTGGCAGGATATCGTGGCGCCCGCCATGATGTCCACCCTCCCCATAATCAGTCATCACCCCCCTCTTGGCCGCCCCCGATCAAAGAAGCATCAAGCGATTCCAGGCTGATGTTGTTCCCTGAAGGACCACATCCCAGAAATAGTTTCGAGCACCCAGAAAAGTATCGTATCTGTGTCTGCCCGACACGCTGGCGAAGTGCCGAACAAGTAGCCTCCCAGTGCCAGCCAGATACGTGAAAACCCTGCAGTTTCGATAATGTCTTGGCGCTCGATAATTTTCCTGGCGGTCAAGGCTCAATACATTGGAACATCATAATTCCAGGCTGTGTGTGTGAGCGCCTGCCGCGAGCATCGGAAATAGGGGCCTCCTAGATGCGGTCCGAGGGAGTCGGGTCGGAGGATCGCGCTGCATCGGCGATGCAGAGGCGCAGTCGGCGTGGAGAAAATCGGACTCCACATCGAGTCGCATCGTCGATGCATCAGCGATGCATCGGCGATGCGGCGCGATCCCCCGACCGTACCTACTCGGACCCCATCTGGGAGGCCTAAAGTGAGATCGGGAATGTCCTCCTTCGGGCGGAGTTTGGACGAAAAATGAAAATAGTCTACAATGCTCAAACTATTTTTGGCTATTTGTTGACTATTTTGAATACTCTGGCTATTTTTGGACTATGTTTGAATACTCCTCCTGTAGAGGGACAGGCCCGACGGAAGCCTAGAAGAGAGCACCCCCTCGACGACGCCCCGCACGCGGACCTGCGCCTCGCTCAGCTGGTGCAGCACCCCGCTCGGGCCGAAGAGCCCCAGCCCGCTCTCTCTCCTCTCGGGGGAGGGCCCGGCCGAGACAACGAAGGCTCTCCCCAGACCTTGTGTGGCATCCTCAGAGGACCTCGTCAATCCCGTCGCGGCCCTCTCCGCGTCGAATCCGTGTCGGATCCATGTCGGCCTCGTCGGATCTGTGTCGAGTCCGTGCCGAATCCGCGTCGGATCCACGCCACATCCGCGTCGAGCCCGCAGCGAGCCCGCGTCGGGCACAGGAAAAGGCACCAACTTCGGGGACAGGCGAGGTCCCGCGAAGATGCAACGTCACGGACCCCGCCTACGAGACCGGCGCCCATGCACCGTACCATGTTTGGACTCCCTTCAGGCCCCGCTCCAGCGCGGCACGGTGCGTGGTTCTTCGGCTCCGAGGGCCGAAAAACGATGCGCCGTACATGCTTGGGTCGGAGATCGACAACGCCTCGGGAGACACCAGCGCGGTACCGTGCATACATCGGGGGCGGCCAAGAGGGGGGCCGTCCAAGAGGGGGGAGCGCAAATCATGGCTGGCGGCATGTGCCCGGCACAAGGGGGGGGGCCATGGACGCAACGAGGCGCCATGAAAGCTGAGGCAACATCATGGCCCACGGCATGAGATCCCCCCCTAGGCATCACCACCCTCTTGGCCGCCCCCGAACACAGGTCGTCCGCGGACCTCCTGGTGCCCGTCCTGACACACCTCTCGAAGCAGATCCAGCCGCGGCGACGAGGAGCCTCCGCGGGAGGCCCCAAAAGCCGCGGGAAGGCGCCCCAAGAGGACCGCCGCGGGGCCTTGGCCAGCACCCGGCCGGTCCTCGCCGCCTGCCGGTGCTCCACGCGCCCCTGCGCGGCCGTCGGCGGGCCCACGGCGCTCCCAGGGGTCATGCGCCCCGTGCGCAGCCCCTCGCTGGGCGCCTCCGGCGGCTGGGGCAGCCGCGACGGGCCCGAGGGCCGCCACACGCGCTTGGGCGCGGAGGCTGCGCTGCCGCGCGAGGAGGGCCGGGCGGAGGTCAGCCCGCCGCTCGGGCCGGAGCGGTGGTCGCCCAGCTCCCCGTCGCTCTGCGCGCGCGAGGGCGCCGCGCTCGGGCAGCGCGGCCGCAGGATGTTGGCGCTGGCGCTGCGCGCCGCGGCGCCCCTGCCCAGCGGCCGCGGCGGCAGGGGCCGCACGCGGCCGGGCAGGATCCTGTCGCGGGCGCCCCGCCGTGGGACCGGCGGGGGATGCTTCGGCTTGGCCGACGCGGCGGCGTAGAGGCCGCCGCCCAGATAGACGAGATCACCGTCTGAGGCAACCGGGACGCCGCCAATCGTGACAGCACTGGGCAAGTTCAGCAGCGGCTGGTCATCTATCTGCACCTCCGCGTACACCGCGCGGCCAGGTTCCGCCGCTCGAACGGCCACCGGCACCAGCGCTTGCTCGGCCACTGGCGAGGCGGCGGGCTCGTCCGACAGTGCCAGGGGCTGCGCAAGGCTGGGCGGGTCGCCCTCCGAAGCGAGAGGCGGACGGCGCTCCTCCTCCCCCTCGCAGACACCCTGCAGGGGCCTCGAACTCGGCGCGTGGCAGGCCGCCCGCATCCAGTCGTCGCTGCCCGCGAACGCGGCGCTGTGCGCGGCGTAGCCGCCCTCGCGGGGCGGCCTGCCTGCTGGCGCCAAGGGAGGAGTGCTGCTGGCAAACCGCTGCGGGGCAGCGGCTGGGGACCGCGAGGCGGCGGCCTGGTGCAGCGGCGCGCCAGGGCCCACAGTAAAACGACCGCCGGCGCCCTCGCCGCCGCTCACCGCGAAGCTGGTGGCCGAGGGCGCCGCGCTGCTGGCCACGCTCGCTGGCCTCGCGGCAGTCGAGGCCTCCGCCACGCGGAAGGGCGGAGACGCCGCGGACGCCGCGGAGACCGCGAAAGCGGCCGAGTGCACTGGAGCGCGGATGACCGCGGGGCTGGGGGTGGCTGGGGCTCCAGCGGCCGCAGGGCCAACGCCAGCCATGTCGGACGCATGTCTGGCCGCGAAGCGGGCCTCCATGGCCTTCACCATCGCATCTGAGGGCTCGAAAGCCTTAAAGGAGGCCATCGCTGCTGGTGATCCCGGGGGGGGGATGCCAGCGCAAGTGCTGGCCCCTCCCCCAATTCGCGCTTGCAGGGAGCGCCCCAACGGCGTCGGGTAGGGGCCAGAAGCTTGAGCCAGAACACACCACGAACGCGCCAACTTAATCCATATGCTAGATGCTGCTCGAGTCCTCCAGGCGGACACGATGTCCACGCCGGAGACAACAATTGGCACGCTGGTAGGTCCGAACGCCGCCCGCGTCACAAGTTCTCTCCCGCGCGCAGGCACCCCGTCGCCGAAGTGCGGGCCACGTCTGCTGGAGAATGAGGCTGGGGAGCTCAGACATCCAACGTCGTGAGATCTGCTACAGCGCGGCTCCCCAGAGATATGAGAGCATGTTTTCTGCGTTCGCCTCACTGGTGCGAAATCACAACCTCCTCCGTTCTGGAACCGCCTCACCCCCCACATCCCTGCCATCCATAGCGAGAATGCCCCCCCGCTCTGCCCCCCCCCCAGGAGGGGGGGAGGTCGGACCCCGTCCCCGCCTGACTTCCTCCCAGCATACTCAGGAAACGCTCTTTTAGAGGTCTGAATCCCGTCCTGGGGGCTGGCTTTTCACCTCGAATCGTCTCTTGACAGTCCCGGGGCCCGGTAGGGGCTTGCCCAGAGAAGAGCGAAAACCTTCCGTGGTTATTTCCCCACCTCCTCATTCCGTGGTTCTTGTTATTGCTAGGACGCCTCCGTCTCCTCACTCACTCACTCACTCACTCACTGACTCATTCACTCACTCACTTCCGCCTCCTTCTCCATCTCACCAGATTAAGATCACTCATACTGCGACCTAGTCACACTCAGACTCACTTACACTCAGACCCACTCAAACTCAGAATACTGAACTCAAACTCAGATCACTCATACTCAGGCTCACTCGCACTCAAACTGACTCACACTCAGATCCACTGATACTCAGACTTGCTCATATTCAGGATCACTCATGCTCAGACGACTCCCACTGAGATCCACTCATACCCAGGCCAACCACACTCATCTCATACTCGTCCACACATACCGCTCACGGCATGAGCATTTACGCTCGCGATAAGATCACCGCGACACAGCAAGCGTGGATCGTGGGCATCCCCCAAGGAAGCGCCGCCAGGGAGTACGACACTCGCCACTTCGCGCCCATACTGTCGGGATGTCCGACTCGGTTTGCTGGCTTTGCACCCCAGACTCCCCTCCCTTGCAAGCCCCATGGCCACAGCGACATGGCAGGCGTGGCACTGGAGCACCCCAGAGGGGGACCGCCAGGGAGTATGACACTCGCCTGTTCGCGCCCAGATTGTGGGGATGTCTCGCTCGATTCGCTCGTTTTGTCCATCCCCCCCCAGAGCACTCTCTTTTGAGATGCCTCTCGACATAGCAAGGAATCTGGGGCAGGGGCGCCAAGAGGGTATGACACTCGCCCATTCGCGCCCAGATTGTGGGGATCTCGGATGCGGCGTGCTCGTGTTGCACCCCCCCAGGCTCCTTTCTTTTGAGAGCCTCACGATTTGGAGTACCATGTGGGACATGCTCGAGAACAGGAACGGACCGTAGACGGATCTGCCCTTCTCCGGCCTTGCACTGCGACGAACGCAGCGGCCGATTTGTCCATGGACACATCCACCCCCGAATGCGTCCATAGACGCAACGGCACCCAATGTGTCCGTGGACACTAGTGGCTGGAACGTGAGAACGGTAGTTGGCCTAGGCCGGGAATACCTATCGGCCGGAATACCCATCGGTCGGAAGAAAGGGGTAGAAACATGAAGTAGGAAGGCGTTGAAAATAGATCGGGTCCCGTCCGCCCCCTGAGGAGGACGGAAAAGGTGAAGCCACTCGGTCATTGAAGTAGACAGGAGCTTAAAGTAGACTGGAATATGAGAACCCAACAATTACCCGCTTTCAACGACCGAGGGGTACTGCTGTCCGAAGAGCGGGTAGACGGGGCCCTCCAACCCACGATGTCACACACCAGGTGTGACACTTGGGCACGCCAAGCGGAAGCCGCCAGGGAAGGTGGGGCACCCGCCAGCCCGCACGGGGATTGTGGGAACGTCTCGGGAGGGCTGCTCGTGGCGCCCCCCAAACTCTTAGGAGGAAAATCCCGGAGGCCTCGGGCGGCAACTTGAGACACGATTTGCGCCGGTCGGACTACGTCAGAATTACGTCGGATTTACGTCGGACTGACTCCAGAGCATCGCCGCGCGAGCGTCGACACATAGCTTGCGGAGCCGACGTGTGGACTAGATGATACTACTATTACGCGCCGCGTGAGGCCTCGAGGATTTCCCCCCCCCAAAAAAAAACGCCTTCTCTTCTGGATGCCACATGACCTCCGCAACACAGCAAGCCAAGCGGGAGCAGCCAGGGAGCATGACACTCACCCGTTCGCGCCCATGCTGTGGACAGGTTCCAACGATTCCCCTGCAATTGCCCCCCAGACGTCCTGCTTGTCAGGGCCCCACAGTCACCGCGACACGGCAAGGGTGGCACTTGGGCAACCGACGGGAAGCCGTCAGGGAGGGGGACGCCCGCCTGTTCGCGCCCATACTGCAGGAGATGGCTCAAACGGTTTGCCTGCTTTGGCTCACCAGACCCTTTGGGAGTGAGAAAGGAAGAGCAGGAGTAGGACATGAGGAGAGAGGGCGCAGGAGGAGGAGAAGGAGGAGAAGGAGGAAAGAGGAGGGAGGGACAGAGGGAGAGGGGAAGGGGGGAGGAGGGAGGACGAGGGAGAAGAAGGAAGGAAAAGGAGAAGGACGAGGAGGAGGAGGAGGAGGAGGAGGAAGAGGAGGAGGAGGAGGGGGAAGGAGGTGCCCGATGGCCGGGCTCCGTGATGTACGAAGCTCAAGGCCAGACGCCTGACGTCGTAAGAAGCTGCAGCGTCGTCAAGCGAAAGACGACCGGAGACCTCGACAACATTTCGACTACATTCGGTGCTCCAGAAAAGGCCTCGCCGTCGGCGAAGGCTGGAGGAACTAGCGGGGCCGCAAGCGGACGCCAGCGGAGGCTGGAGGAAACAACTGGGCCGCCGGCGAAAGGTCGACGGAGGGCGGCGGGAGCATCAAAAGGGAGATGCCAACATCGCTGCAATCAGGGCTTCCAGAATCCACCACAAAGCCCGCTACGCCGCTTGCTTCTGCTTGAGCAACGTCCTGAGGTCTGAGAGTGCGAGTGCCTTCGCGCTCTGGCGCCGACGCCTGTGGAAGGGAACTCTTCGGCCCAGGCCGCGAAGCCCGATCACCTTTGCGGCCCAACGGGAATCCTGGGGAAGGCGGCGAAGCGAGGGGCCCGGAGGAGAAGGAAGAGCAGAAGTGGAGGGGCGAGGGGGAAGGAGGAACAGAGGATGAGAAAGGAGGGCGCGGGAAGGGGAGGAGAAGGGAGAAAGGGGAGAGCCGGGAGCAGGAGCAGAAGGGCGAGCGGGAGGAGGAGGAGGAGGAGGAGGAGGAGGAGGAGGAGGAGGAAGAGGAGGAAAAGGAGGAAGAAGAGGAGGAGCAGGAGGGTCATGGTTCTACCGTGAGCAGCCGCTGGCGGTCCTGGGGGGGGGGGGGGGGCCCTGCCGTGCGCCGTTTTCGCTGCGCCCCGCGCAGCCTGTGGTCGAGAGAGCTCGGGCGGAGCAGAACCCAGGCCGGGCCAGGACAGGGCGGAAACTCCGCGAGGCGTGCCAGGGCGACAAGTGCACAGGCTCCCACAGGGTCGGCTGCCCCAATGCAGTGCTCAGCCAACCGCTCGCCTTCTGCACTTGCGACGGCAGCCGGGGAGGAGGAGAGTGGCCAGGACAGGGGCAGGGACACAGAGGCGCACCAGGAGGAGAGAACGGAGGGACGAAACGCAGAAGGAGGCGAGAAAGAGGGAGCAGGAAGACGATAAGGAGAGGGAGGGCGAGGATGAGATAAGACGGCGCCTCAAGAGCAGTTGAGAGAACCATCGACCTCATAGCCGAAAGGGCCCGAACGTTGGCTTTACACCGTGGCGCTACCACGTCAAAACAGAACGCGTGGGCTGTAGGAGGGGGACACGGCTCGGGGTCGGAGCTGGACCCGGGGGGGCCCCCTCCACACACACACACACACACACACACACACGCACACACACACACACACACACACACACACACACGCACACACACAGCGGCGCCCTCGACGCCGCCCCTGAGGCGCGCCCTGCGCGATGGGAAGGGCGTCGGCAGGGGGGCCCAGCGCCGGCCCAAGGAAGCCGCGCAGTCCTCCGCAGGCTTCTACTGATGGCCGCTTCTCGGAAGAAGTACGTGGAAACATGAGGTAGGAATTTGGACGCCCGAAATGGGTACGGAAAGAATGGGTACAAAGCCCAACAACAAATGTTGTCCCAAACCAACAGCGGCCGCTGTTGGGCAAGCGGTCTTCTGTCTCAAATGGACACAGGCCGCGGCGGCGCGGACAGCGAGTCCTGTTCAAAATGAACAGGAACTGCTGTTGGGCATCGTACCCATTCTTTCCGTACCCATTCCGTTCGTGCCGAAGGAAGGCGGATAAAGTAGACTGGGTTCGGGCCCGCCCAGAGGATAACAGGCAACGACAAAAGCATGCCGACTCCTGAGTGGGAAGGCGCTCGAGGCAAATTGGGACCCAGGGAATCAAAAAATACCAACCCTCAACGGCCGGCGTGCGCCGTGGTTCAGCACTTCGCACATGGGGCCCCGAGACAGGGGCTTCCCCGAGAGGCGAGGAGGCCTCGAGCAGCTTGCAAGCGAAACCTCGGAGTTACGCGCCGCCCCTCTGAAAACCCGAGTCTTTGCAGTCCCCGAGTCCTGGGGCTTCCCAGGGAGGGCGAGGAGTGCGAGGACGAGGACGGATAGGCGGAGCGGGAGCTGCAGGCGGGAGCAGCAGGCGGGAGCCGGAGCGGGACTCCTCCACCTCATCCTCCGCCCTCCTCCTCCTCCTCCTCCTCCTCCTCCTCCTCCTCCTCCTCCTCCTCCTCCTCCTCTCCTCCTCCTCCTCCGTCTCCTCCTCCTCCTCCTCCTCTCCTCCTCCTCCTCCTCCTCCTCCTCCTCCTCCTCCTCCTCCTCCTCCTCCTCCTCCTCCTCCTCCTCCCTCCTCCTCCCTCCTCCTCCTCCTCCTCCTCCTCCTCCTCCTCCTCCTCCTCCTCCTCCTCCTCCATCATCATCATCATCATCATCATCATCATCATCATCATCATCATCATCATCATCA